AGGGAGTACTCAACAAAGGCTAGGAATTACAGGAGCCCTGGCATTACCCAGATGCTCCCATACTACAGCCATTTTCAGTGGCTTCCTCCTCTCCTCTGCAGTAGCTGCTCACTGACACAGAGGTGCCAGACCTGCCGGATCAAATGACCAGACCAGAGAAGACTAAAAGTAGGTAAGTACGCAAATCTTTTTTATACAGGCTAGGCAGAATAGGTAAGAGGAGTGGAGAAGGGAACATTTTTAGGAATAGTTTGAGTTAGTTCGAATAGTTCTAGGTCACTACTGTGACCTAGACTCAGCCAACAGTGGGCTAAAGCCCACTCTCAACTGATGTCACAGACAGGGCCAGTGCTACCACTAGGCAGCCACCTACGCCATGGGGGGGGGGGGATTTGTGTTAGCAGGGGAGACTGGGGGAATTTTTACTAGGAGACAGGATTGGGGGGGGGTGCTGGAAGGGAGGATGGGGGGATATGTGCTAGGAGGGGGAATTGAGGGGGTGTGCTAGGAGGAGTGATTTTTTTTGGGGGGGGGATTGTGCTAGGGATAGATGTGCTAGTAGGGGGGATTTGTGCTAGGATAGGGGATTTGGATGGGGAGGAAGGATTCGTGCTGGGAAGGGTAATTTGGAGAGGATTGTTCTAGAAGCTGGGATCGGGGGGATTTATGCTAGGAGAGGGGATGTGGGGTAGAGGATTTGTGCTAGGGTGGGAAATTTGAGGAGAAAGGTTGTGTGCTCGGGGGGGGGGGCCTTAAGCAGAACTATAAGTGAAGTTTTATTTTTTTGGGGGGTGGTGCAAGGAGCTGGTCTTGTCTGGGGCGCAAAATGGTCTAGCACCGGCCCTTGTCACAGAGCCGGTCTAGGCTCTGGAAGGATCCTGATAATAATGTAGGGATCCACCCAAATGCCTGACTGTCAGCGCGCCACTGTGTGCCTGAGCCAGCCCCTTCTCCATTCCAGCGCTCTGGGGAGGCAGAGCAGAGAGACAGTGACTGATATGCAACCTTTCATCATGACTTCATATGCAGCTAATCTTTGTGGAACAGGATACAGCAGTTAGCAGTGATTCCCTTAAATCGGAGCTCTATCAGCAAAAAAAAGTAGTTTGATATGGGGCACAACAAGGGCACATAATGTTATTAAATGTTTATACATAATGTTTATGTAATGTATAGTTATTTTCCTTATTTACTTTTTTGTGTTGCTATCTTTGTAAGGTGCATTGGGTGTTTTGAAAGAAGCCTAAAAATAAAATGTATTATTATTATTATTGCTTTTATTCTTATCTTAAAGCGGAGTTTCACTCACTCTGTAAAAAAATAAAAGTCAGCAGCTACAAAAACTGTAGCTGTTGACTTTTAAAAAACAGCCACTCACCTGTCCCATGATCCCACGTTGCCCCTTCCGCAGCCCGTTTCACCAGCTGTCCTGTATGCCAGGCACCGGCATCTTCAGTGTGGGCACCCGGCTGTGACAGCTTGCGGCTTCACAGCCAGGAGCCCACTGCGCAAGTGCGAGTAGCGCTTCGCTTCCTGAATGGCCCCGTCATCTTCTGGGACCTGTCACGTGTCCCACAAGATTTTGGAGAGGGAGGGTAGGAGGACAACTTCTGCTTCCAATCGCCTAGGCGATCGTGGCGGAAGTGGGAGCAGGGGTACCTGTCAAATTTGGGTAGCCGCCCCCCCCGCTCCCCAAAGATGCCAATCCATAATGGGGAGCAGGGGACCAATATATAAAGCGGAACTTCCCCTTTTTGAACTCCGCTTTAAGTAGTACTGTAGCTTTCAAAAGTTTCAAATACATGTCAGATTCACTTTAAGCAAGCCAAGATGACAAAACATGCAATAATGATATGAAGCCATTAGATGGCGGCAAAGCAACATTTTTCAGAACATGCGTTTAAAGCCTTCCAAAAGAATCCTCAGGAAGAATTTAAGATTGGGCTTGATATTAAAATCTAAAATAATAGTTTGAAAAGCAGACAGCCTTGACATTTGCAATAATACAAATATCATAATGAGAAATCAGATTTTGCATGTTTCCTAAAAAAAATCTGATGGAAGACCCAGGCTTCGATTCCCTAAAAGGCAAAAATTTGCTTTTCATCAAAAAACAAGAACAAAAAAAGCTTCATATTAAATGTTCATTCTTGCCTGATTCTATTTGTAATCTGGGGCGTGTGTACACACTTTCGAAAGCTGAAATGCCATTAAAGCAAAGCGATAAAAGAAAGGCGGCTGTTTTTTCCAAGGGAATTGCTGCTGTTTGATGCAGTAAAAAAAGACTAATTTATAAAAATGTATGTAAAACAGTTTTAAATGTTGTTTACCTACAGACCCAATATATGTCCATAGTGCATATACCACCTTGTCTAACACCCTGCAAAAAATGTAAGTTATACATATGTATAGAATGTTTTTAAATGCTTAATTAAAACTGAACTCCAGACAGCAATTATAAAGGCACAGCACAGCAAGTTTTAGTCTAGGTGGTGGAGAGTAAGTGGAAATACCCACCTTACTCCTTCCACCCCTACAGCTGGCACTCTCTTCCATTCCTGACAAGTGGACTGGTCCTTGATGTACTCATGTTCAGTGTAGGACTGCTGGACTTACATTGTACGTGGCGATGCTGGAGGCAATGTGAATGCACACCTAGTGAAAAAGAGCGGCTTTGTGGGACCAGTCATGTGGTGCGGTGGAAGCCAACTGAAACAAGGAATAAGCTATGTATTTCTGCTTATTCTGTACAACCTAGACTAAACACTACATACCAATTTTTTTTTGCTCATTGGAGTTCAGCTTTATTCTAATAGTGAATCTGTGTTTGAACACAGTCAACCTATACTAATGATCCGCACTAAAGTCTTGCTAAAAATCATGAAAGCCTCCTTTCTGGTGGGCAGCAGCTAAATCCGATCTGTTTCCAGCAGGGAGAAAAATACATTAAGGGGCTCTCAATTTTGCACTTTAACACCCACTTTATTACCTTAGGCTAACTGATAAATCAGCTGCAAAATTCACTTGACACATATGTTTAGTTAATCTCAAGCAACTATTTTGTACATCCATTTTACATGCAAAAAAAACGCATGTCAAAGCAGTGCTTACAGTTTATTAACTTCATCTTCAAAAAGCTGCATTCCAAAAGAAGACATTGGCATCCTCTTGTGAATCAAGTCGTTAAGTGGTAAAGTAAACTTGACAGCACACAATTCACATGAAGGAAGAGGATGGTTAGAATGACCACATACCAAGATTTAGAGGGTTTGTTGTAAATCAGTCAGCATACGTCAGCGGTTATCACATGACACTGTTTACAAGTTTCACACCAAAGTGCTTGAACCTGACAGCCATTGGGAGAAATGCAAGAAAAAAAAAAAAAAAAAAAAAAAAAAATATATATATATATATATATATATTGGGGGAAATTATTAGCTGATCCCCTGCAGATTTTGTAACTTTGCCCACTTACAGAGAAATGAAGGGTCTATCATTTTTATCATAGGTGTATTTTAAATGATAGAGGCAGAATATTAACCAAAAATACAGAAAAAAACACATGATACAGATTCTATAAATTGAGTAATATAAGTATATGATCCCCAAGCAAAACATGACTTAGTACTTGCTGGAAAAACCTTTGTTGGCAAGCACAAAGGTAAAACGTTTTTTGTAGTTGGGTACCAGGTTTGCACACATCTCAGGAAAGATTTCAGTTCACTCTTCTTTACAGATCTTCTATAAATCCTTTTTCTTGGCTGTCGCTTGGAATTTTCAGCTCCCTCCATAAATTTTCTATAGATTAGGGTCTGGAGATTGGCAAGGCCACTCCATCACCTTAATGTGCTTCTTCTTGAGCCATTCCATTGTTGTCTTGGCAGTATGTTTTGAGTCATTGTCATGCTGGAAGACCCATCCACGACCCATCTTCAGTGTTCTGGCTGAGGGAGGAAGGTTCTCATCCAAGATTTTACAATACATGGCCCCATCCATTGGCCCCTCAATGCGGTAAACTTGGCCTGTACTTTTAGCAAGAGAAACACCCCCCAAAGCATAATGTTTCCACTTCTGTGCTTAACTGTAGGAGTGGTGTTCTTAGGGTCATAGTCAGCATTTTTCTTCCTTCAAACACGGCGAGTCAAGCTAATACCAAAAAGCTCAGTTTTTGGTCTCATCTGACCACAGAACTTTCTCCCAATCCTCTGAATCATTTAGACTTAGACTTGGAGTTCATTGGTAAACTTCAGACGGGCCTGTACATGTGCCTTCTTGAGGAGGGGGACCTTGCGGGCACTCCAGAATTTCAATCCATGGCGGCATATTGTGTTACCAATGGTTTGTTTTGGTGACTGCGGTCCCAACTGCCTTGAGATCATTCACAAGCTCTTCCCGTGTAGTTCTGGGCTGATCCCTCACTTTTCTTATGCTCATCCCCATGAGGCGAAAATCATGCATGGAGCTCCAGACCAAGGGTGATTGATGGTTATTTTGTATTTCTTCCATTTGTGAATAATCACTGCAGCAGTTGTCTCCTCACCAAGCTTCTTGCTGATGGTCCTGTAGCCCATTCCAGCTTGGTGCAGGTCTACAATCTTTTCCCTGACGTCCTTTGACAGCTTTTTGGTCTTGCCCAAGAAAGAGATTCTGTGGACAGGTGTCTTTTATACAGAAAATGAGTTGCTGTTAGGAGCACCTTCTTAAATTGACAGGACCAATCTGTGTACCACATGAGCACATAGCCAGTCTGTGAGAGCCAGAATTATTGTTGGTTGGTAGGGAATCAAATACTTATTTTACTTACAGAGCTGCAACTCAATTTATAAATTTGTATCGTGTTATTTCTGGATTTTTTGTTAATATTCTGTCTCTATCCTTTAAAATACACCTATGATAAAAAAAATCATAGACCCTCCATTTCTTTGTGAGTGGGCAAACTTACAAAATCTCAGGGGATCAAATAATTATTTCCCCCACTGTGCATATATATATATATATATATATATATATATATACTATATTGCCAAAAGTATTGGGACACCCCTCTCCAAATCATTGGACTCAAGTGTTCCAGTCACCTCCATGGCCACAGGTGTATAAAATTAAGCACCTAGCATGCAGATTGCTTCTACAAACATTTGTGAAAGAATGGGTCGCTCTCAGGAGCTCAGTGAAATTCAAGCGTGGTATCGTGATAGGGTTGCTACATGTGCAATAAGTCCATCCGTAACATTTCCTTACTACTAAATATTCCATGGTCAACTGTTGTGGTATTATAACAAAGTGGAAAGCAACTGGGTACAACAGCAAAATAGCCACGAAGCGGTAGGGCCACGTAAAATCACAGAGCAGGGTCAGCACATGCTGAAGCACACAGTGCACAGAAGTTGTCCAACTGTCTGCAGAGTCAATAGCTAAACACCTCAAACTTCATGTGGCCTTCAGATTAGCACAACAACAGTGCATAGAGAGCTTCATGGAATGGGTTTCCGTGGCCGAGCAGCTGCATCCATGCCTTACATCTCCAAGCACAATGCAAAGCATCGGATGCAGTGGTGTAAAGGATGTGGCCCCTGGATCCTAGAAACAGTGGAGACGTGTTCTCTGGAGTGAACAAATCATGCTTCTCTGTCTGGCAATCCAATGGACGTGTCTGGGTTTAGTGGCTGCCAGGAGAACGGTACTTGCCTGACTGCATTGTGCCAAGTTTAAAGTTTGGTGGAGGGGGGATTATGGTGTGGAGGGTTTTAGGGGGTTGGGCTTGGCCTCTTAGTTCCAGTGAAGGGAAGTCTTAAGGCATCAGCATACCAAGACATTTTGGACAATGTCATGCTCCCATCTTTTGTGGAAACAGTTTTGGGTTTGTTTGTTGGGGATGGCCCCTTCCTGTTCCAACATGACTGCGCACCAGTGCACAAAGCAAGGTCCATAAAGACATGGATGAGCGAGTTTGGGGTGGAGGAACTTGACTTGTCTGCACAGTCCTGACCTCAACCCAATAGAACACCTTTGGGGTGAATTAGAGCGGAGACTGTGAGCCTGGCCTTCTCGTCCAACATCAGTGCTTGACCTCACAAATGCACTTCTGGAAGAATGGTCAAAACATTCCCATAGATACACTCCTAAACCTTGTGGACAGCCTTCCCGGAAGAATTGAAGATGGTATAGCTGCAAAGGGTGGACCAACTCAATATTGAACCCTATGGACTAAGACTAGGATACCATTAAAGTTCATGTGTGTGTAAAGAAAGTCTCAATACTTTTGGCAATATAGTGTATATATAGTATATGTATATATACTACATCATTATGTAGCACCCTCCAAATTAGACTGTGAAGTCTGCAGTCTAGAAAACAGACAAGAGGAAATCATCATGATGGGTAGTCACAGACCCTCTTGCTTTATCTTTTTGTAGTTGTACTAGGCTGGCTATGAACTATTAGATTTCTGAACAAAAATTTGTACAAACATTTGTATCAAAATTTGTACAAAATGTATTTGTTAATTACATTTGACAGCTTTATGGATGGCATTAAATATTTTGTTTGCTTTTAACATTCAAATACAGAATGAAAACCACATACACTGATAGAAACTAATTCATTCGACAAAAATGTAACATCCTGATCATCATTTCATCACTGTGGAAGAAAACAACATCGATTTTACCCTAGTGACAATGATAAAATCTTCCTAAACAAAATGATACTAGTGTATGGCCAACTTTACCAGTCTACAGTTTATTGCCTTAAAAAAAAAATTATTATAGCCAACCAACTCTGACATAACCCTGTATACCCAATGCAGTCTTCCTGAGACTGTAAAAAAAAGTGTCTTTGTAGCTATAGCAGTACAATTCACCTTTGACTTGTACCATAAAAAATCCTGAGTTTAAAGAAGTTTGTATTCTAGGTTTGCAGAGCAAATGTCTGGAAAGACAAACTAACAATTATGTCATAATATAAAATATCTAGTTGGTTAATACACTACTAAAACTAATACTATTAACTACTAAAACTCTTGTTTTTTCACTGACTAATAGACCACCTCTTTACAAGTGTCATGAAATTCAAATCATTATTAAACTGTCAATACATGCTAATATTACATTGTGTTCATACTCCACTTTTGCCACTATTATTATAATATACAGGATTTATATAGCGCCAACAGTTTGGCTTAGCGCTTTACAATATAACGGGAGACAATACAGCAACAATACAGTTCATTACAAGAGGGATAGGAGGGCCCTGCTCCTCGAAGCTTACAATCTAGGATGGAGGGGCTAGCGATGGTACAGAAAGGTAGTAAACTGTGGGGGATGGACTGGTAGGAAGAGTAGTAGAAGATTCCATTATTAGCTGAGGGCAGGATAGGCTTCTCTGAAGGGATAGGTTTTCAGAGATCGCCTAAAAGTGAGCAGAGTAGGCGATAGTCTGATAAATTGGAGTAGAGAGTTCCAGAGGGTGGGGGGGAAGCTCTGGAGAAGTCCTGGAGATGAGCCATGGGAGGAGGAGACAAGGGAACTAGAGAGCAGGAGGTCATGCGAGGAGCAGAGTACGGTTTGGGTGATATTTGGAAACAAGATCGGTGATGTAATTTGGGGCAGAGTTAAAAATGGCTTTATATGTTATTGTTAATGTTTTGAATTTTATCCGTTGGGCAACGGGAAGCCAGTGGAGGGATTGGCAGAGAGGGTTGGCTGATACAGAATGGTTAGTAAGGTGGATGAGTCTGGCAGCAGCATTCATTATAGACTGAAGAGGGGATAGTCTGCGATTAGGTAGGCCAATGAGGAGCAAGTTACAATAGTCAAGGCGAGAGATAACAAGGGAGTGGATAAGTTGCTTATTGTTTTCCGTGGTTATGAACGGTCGTATCTTGGAGATGTTGCGGAGGTGAAGTCTACAAGATTTGGACAGTGATTGGATTTGGGACTGAAAGGACAGATGGGAGTCTAGGATTACACCTAGTACCCTAGCATGAGGGGAGGGACTGATGATTGTGTTATTGATCTTGATGGAGAAGTCAGGGGCGGGGGCACGAGCTGGGGGGAATACTAAGAGCTCAGTTTTGGAAAGATTGAGTTTGAGGAAGTCTAGTGACATCCATGCTGATATGTCACTTAGTAGGTTAGTAATGCGGGAGGAGACTGAAGGGGTGAGGTGAGGGGTAGAAAGCTAGATTTGTGTGTCATCAGCATAGCGATGGTACTTAAAGCCATGAGAGTTTATCAAGTGACCAAGGGAGGAAGTGTAGCTGGAGAAGAGTAGGGGTCCAAGGACAGAACCTTGAGGGACCCCTACAGAAAGAGGAAGTGGAGAGGAGGAGGCAGAGTTATTGGTAACGCTGAAGGAAAGCTGCGATAGGTAGGAGGAGAACCAGGAGAGAGCAGAGTCTCAGAGGCCAAGAGAGTGGAGTTTTTTGAGGAGGAGGGGATGGTCAACCGTATCAAAAACCGCAGAGAGGTCAAGTATTAAGAGTATGGAGTACTGGCCATTGGTTTTAGCAGTTAGTAAATCATTAGTGAGTTTTAGTAGGGCAGTTTCAGTGGAGTATAGTGAGCGAAAGCCAGACTGTAAAGGGTCAAGAAGGTTGTTGACAGTGAGGTAGGAGCCCAGGCGATTGTAGACTAAGCGTTCTAAGAGTTTAGAGGTAAACGGGAGCAGGGTGTTAGGGCAGGGGCCGAGGAACGGACAGGCAGGCCTAACAATGTAACGCACTGGCTGACGACAACCACTACCCACAGACCGAAGTCCCTCAGGGCGCGGAGTCTAAGTCCCAGGCTGCCCTTCACCAGGGCCCCTGATGGTGGGGATGGACTTGACGCAGCCAGGAACCAGGTCGCGGCCCCCGAGACACCTCAGCTGCGGTAATGGCCGCCGCCAATGGCGCGTAGCTGGTGGAAGAGACAAAAGAGTAGTCAGACAAGCCGGGTCAACACCAACAGGACAAAACAGTACAGGACAGCAGACGAGAATCACAGGTCACGAGCCGAGTTCAGCAACAGAGGGTCAGATCAAGGGATAATACAAAGAATAGTCAAGTCATAAGCCGAATCAGATACCAGGAGAGTCACGAGAGTCAGAACAGAGTAATAGCAACACAAAGAAACAAGACACAAGTGCAAAGAGCATGTGCGGGCCACAGGCTTATATGTCATCAGCCACACCCCTCTGGGGATGGACCACAGAGACCTGAAGGCATAAAAGGATTCCCATCATGCACAGCAGAATCCAAGATGGACGCCAGCACATGGAGTAACATAACCTCAGGGAAAAGGTAGGACCTTGACAGTACCTCCTCCTCAAGGGCCCCTCCCCCTCCGTGGCTCAACAAAAGGTTTCTGAGGAAAGCGGGTATGAAAAGCGCGGAGGAGGGCAGGAGCATGGACATCCGCGGAAGGAACCCAGGAACGCTCCTCGGGACCATAACCGCGCCAATGAACCAGGAACTGTAAATCGACCTCGCACCAATTGAGAGTCCAGGATCCGGCTCACCTCATACTCCTCATGACCGTCAACCCGGACAGGACGGGGCCGAGGCAGAGAGGTAGTGAAGCGATTGCAGATCAGAGGTTTCAACAGGGAAACATGAAAAGATATTGGAGATCCGCATCCCAGACGGAAGGGCAAGGGCATAGGCCACCGGATTCACTTTGCGGAGAATGCGGAAAGGAGCGACAAAACGGGGAGCTAGTTTGGGTGTGGGCACCCGAAGATTGAGGTTGCGAGTAGACAACCACACACGATCGCCAACCTGGTATGAAGGAGCGGGCAACCGTCTGCGATCAGCCCTGGAACTTCTGGCGCTGAGCTGAGTCCCTCAAGGCCCTCTGGATCTGCCCCCATGAAGAACGCAGGGCAGCAAGATGGTTCTCCACAGCCGGAATGTCCTGTGGTGAGATCCTCTCAGGTAATACCGCGGGTTGGAACCCATAGTTGGCCATGAAAGGAGACATCCCGGAGGAGGAGTTGACCGCCGAGTTCCTGGCAAACTCTGCCCAAAGCAGGAGATCGGCCCAATCGTCCTGATGGTCTGAAATATAACACCGAAGGAATTGATCTAAGGCCTGATTGGACCGCTCCGCAGCCCCATTGGACTGCGGGTGGTAGGCTGAAGAAAAGGAGAGACTAATACCCAACTGGGAGCAGAAGGCGCGCCAGAATCTGGACACGAACTGACTCCCTCCCGCGGTCCGAGACAAATCACCTTAGGCAACCCATGCAGGCGAAAAATCTCCCTGGAAAAGACCGTGGCCAGTTCTTGCGCTGTGGGTAATTTCCTGAGTGGAATGCAATGGCACATCTTGGAAAACCGATCGACGATCATGAGGATGACCGTATGACACCCGAGACACCGGGAGGTCTACAAAGTCCATACCTAGATGTGACCAAGGACG